GAACAAAATCCTATCAATGTTCTCATTGACTGTGGATCAACCCACAACTCCATCAATGAGAAGGCTGCTAAGAGAATAGGCTGCACAATTAGCCAAATACACCCTCAGGATGTATCTATAGCTGATGGTAGGATCATTCTAATCTGTTAAGGGAAGCAAGGACTTCAAGTGGCTCATGCTAGGGGTTCTTTCCCAAGATGACTTCCTATTGCTTTCTATAGGCAGCTGTGATGTTGTGTTGGGAATTCAATGGCTGTGCAAGTTAGGAGACATCAAGGTCAACTTTGAGACGCTTTTTATGCACTTTCTCTATCAAGGGAAGTCTGTCACCCTGCAGGGTATTTATCCTTCATTTAAAACTGTTGATGCCAAGGCTTTACATAACATCTCTATTGATATTGCTCAGATCTTCATGATCAAGGTCTGTTCTACCAACATGTCACCAGCTGCAAACTTTCATAAACAAGAGGAAATTCCGGTACCAGTCCAAACATTACTCAATGAATATAACATGCTCTTCCAAGAACCTAAACATTTACCACCTTCAAGAGGAGTGTTTGACCATCACATTCCCTTAGTTGAAGGCAGTGCTCTTATTAATTCTACACCTTACAGATACTCCACAATACAAAAGAATATGATAGAAGATATGGTGAAGGAAATGATGGCTCCAGGGATCATCCAGTATAGTTCTAGCTCTTATGCCACACCTATGGTCTTAGTTGGAAAGAAGGATGGCTCATGGAGACTGTATGTTGATTACAATGCTCTAAACAAAGTCAATATTAAGGATAAATTTCTCATACCTATCATTGAGGAGTTATTGGATGAACTTGGGGGGTCAGAAATTTATTCTAAGATAGATCTAAGAGCAGGCTATCATCAAATTAGAATGGCACCCTCTGATGTGCACAAGACAACCTTTAAAATACACTCGGGACACTATGAATACTTGGTCATACCCTTTGGATTGACCAATGCTCCCTCTAGTTTTCAAGGGCTTATGAACCATATTTTTCAAGCATATTTGAGAAAGTTTATCCTAGTGTTCTTTGATGATATTCTAGTTTTCAGCAAGACATTAGATGAGCATGTGCAGCATCTTAGATTCACCTTTGAATTGTTAGTGCAACACCAACTTTTTGCTAAAGGGAGTAAGTGCGTGTTTGCAGCAACTAGGATTGAATACTTAGGATACTATATTTCTCCTGAAGGAGTGACAACTGACCCCAAGAAATAGAGGTAATCCAAGGACGGCCTGAGCCTATTAACATCAAATAGCTAAGAGTTTTTTGGGCCTAGTTGGGTACTATAGAAGAGTCATTAGGGGTTATAGAGTTCTTAGAAAGACACTTACTGATTTACTCAAGAAGGACAATTTCAAGTGGTCTCCTCAAGCTACTTCAGCCTTTGAAAAGCTTAAGGAAGCTCTCACTTCTGCACCAATGCTAGTATTACCTGATTTTTCTACACCCTTTGTAGTTGAAACTGATGCTTGTAGTAATGGCATTGGTGCAGTTTTGATGCAAAAGGGTCAACCAATAGCTTACTTGAGCAAGGGTCTCTCACCTCAGCACCAAACACTGTCAGTGTATGACAAAGAACTATTGGCATGAGTTATGGCTGTAAATAAATGGACTCAATACTTCACTGGCAGGCCCTTTACAGTGAAGACTGACCAAAAGGCTCTAAAATTCCTTCTTGAACAAAAATTGCATAAAGGTTCAAAATTGAAATTGATAGCAAAACTTATGCAATATGATTTCATAATTGAGTACAAGAAGGGTAAGGAAAACAAGGTGGATGATGCCTTATCTAGATTGCCTGCAACTGAACTAGCTGCCCTTACCTTATCTTCTATTCAAACTGACTTGCTTAGTCTGATCACTCAAAGTTGGAACATAGACCCAGACTTGACTGCCTTGATTCCGACTCTAAAGAGGGTACAGAGATACAAGGCTACACTTTAATTCATGATAAACTTAGAAGACATGGTAAGTTGGTGATTGGTCCAGACTCTAGCTTGAAGAAGAAGAACATCATGCAGTTGTGGCATGATTCCCCTATAGGGGGACACTTTGGGATTGAACAAACATACATGAGGATAGCATCATTGTTTTATTGGAAAGGTTTGAGAGAAAATGTTCATACTTATGTCAATGGTTGTGACATTTACCAAAGGCACAAGTATGATAGATCCCCCTACCCAGGACTTCTACAACCCTTGTAGTTGCCCATCACAGCTTGGAGTAGCATCAACATGGATTTTATAGAGGACTACCCAAATCAAAAGGAAAGACTGTGATTCTTGTAGTAGTTGATAGACTCACTAAGTATGCTCACTTCATGAGTCTCTCTCACCCTTATTCAGCTTCAAAAGTGGCCAAACTCTTCATGGAACAGATTCACAAACTTTATGGCATGCCTAAAGACATAGTGAGTGACATGGACCCCATCTTCTCCGGTAAAGTTTGGCAGGAATTGTTCTCTATGCATGGGTGAGACTTAATACATCCACAACATACCACCCTCAAGCTGATGGGCAGGCATAGGTCATCTATAGATACCTTGAAACATATCTCAGATGCTTCTGTTCTGATTCACAATTTGACTGGTGTTCATACCTTTCTCTGCTGAGTGGTGTGTATAATACTACTTTTCACTCTTCCATACAAAAAACATCATATGAGGCTCTGTATGGCCAACATCCCCCCCCCTCCATTTACCTTATGTAGAAGGTGCCTCGACTGCAGAAGAAGTTGATAGAAGCCTCTTGACAAGAGAATTCAAACTGCAACTCCTCAAACATCATCTCCAACGAGCACAACAAAGAATGACTGCTTAGGCTAACAAGCATCGCTCAGATAGGCAATTCAAAGTGGGAGATTGGGTTTACCTCAAAATTCAACCCTATAGACAAGTGACACTATTAGGTTCCCATTTCTCAAAGCTCTCAGCTAAGTACTATGGACAATACCAAGTCTTACAAAAAATTGGTCCTCTGGCATACAAATTGTCCCTCCCACCCCAGTTATTTATCCATCCCACCTTTCATGTTTCCCAACTCATATTATGCCACAACTTACCTACCAATATCTCTCACTCTCTTGTCCTTGACATATCCGGCCCCTATTGCCCAAATCCTTAGAAAATCCTTGATCGATGCATGGTCCAAAAAGGGAACAAGGCAGTTACTCAAGTTCTGGTACAATGGGATCAACTAACTCCTAAGCAAGCTACTTGGGAAGACTACCACTCCCTTATGGTTAGATTTCCTTCCTTCCTTCATTGAGGACAAGGAAGATTTTGACAAGGGGGATCTGATACGGAGTAAAATAGAGGAGCTTGTGAAAGTTCTACATCGCGTTGTATAGTTGAGACATAACGGTCAATTAGTTAAGATTAAAGAGTTTTATAGATGTTTATTTAAGTCCCTTATCTTTTAAATTAGAAGTTCCTTAAATTACACATTGACCACTTAATTTCCTTTGTCTTATATAAACTAAGTTCTGCCCAGAATTGTACTGAGATGGCAGATTGAGTAGATTATACAGCTGTAATCCTTAGGTCGTTTTCATGATTTTCTCCTCTATATAGGTTGTAATTATCTCCTTTTATGGTTATGAATGAAAACCTCTTTTATTTTGCCCTAGTTTATCTTTGCACTTCTCTTTTCTTTTCCCTTTTTCCTTCCTTTTCCGGTTCTCTTCACTGTTCCATTGCCCTGCATATCAATCCCAGCAGTCAAACCAGCGTGTTTGTTCCGCACCCTCCTTCCAATCAAATCTATTCCAAGGTGTCCGGATGCAAGGGAAAGAAAGGAGGGATTGAGCCCCCGGGTGCTAGATCGAACATAAGTACAAGTCCAAAATAATCATACGAACCTATAGGAACCTTTAAATCATGATTCTCAATCTGTTTAGCTCAAATGTTGATCTTGGTCAACTCTCTGAAGTTAAGGCTTCACGTTAGCAACCAAGTGTAACGCCGTTACCTTTTTTGTAGGATTTTCATTTTATAGGGATATTAAGTGCTTGATTTTTGAAATACAAGGGGTGTGTCTATAATGCAGTCAAATTATAAGGGTGTTTAAATAATTTGCTCAAGATTAAACCCTTCCTTTTTGTTATGAACACATGTGATTAAATGATAAGAAGTTAAAATATTTGAATTTTCACCTCTGTATTCTTCAGGTCGTTTTTGGTCATGCTTTAGAAAGTTCTGATATTTGCATTCTATTCAGTGGTTTTCTGATAAATTGCATTCTATGCACTGATTTGGTGTTCTTACGTTCTGCTTGTGCTATTAATTTCGTTATAAAAATTACCAGTGATGTTGAAACTATACAACAATTCTGTGGCCTTTTATCTACTTTGTGTTGAAGTAAGATGGATGATCTGATGCCTCCTACCCCCTTTATTAAGCGCCGGAAGGTAACATACTTTTAAACTATAGTTCTACCTCCAACACTTTTTTTTCCACTCCTAGGCTAGTGTATAAAGCTTTTTTTTTTTAAATGCAGAATCTCTCCAAGTGTGGGATTGACGAGTGACGACTTGTCTGATGAGTTGCTTATTGCCATACTTTCCTGTTTGAACTTCCACGAGGCAGCAAAGACCCGTATTCTCTCGCAGCGCTGGAGATACTTATGGGAACATACAATTTGCAGAATTGAATTATATAATGACGCCACATTCGAAATTGAGGCAGCAGAAAAGTTTATAAATTCGGTGAATGATGCCTTAAAATTTCATGAGGGTGCATTTATTGAGCGGTTAGTTTGCTGAGAACATTGGCGACTCTCAAATCTTTCCGATTTGTTAATTCATTTTGTCCCACTGCCCTTTACTGGAGGAAGTCTGTATTTCAACCTCAGATTCTCTTGAGAGTTTGAAAGTTGCTCGTTCATTATCTAAGTTAAGGTCCATGGAAATATCAAATTGTGAAGCTTTAATTTGAAGACTATGAAGGTTCATGCTCCAGAGCTTTCAAGAAAGTTCTAAGATGGAACAAGTTACCATAAAATCATGGCACAATTAATTGGTGCGTCCTCCTTATACATGGAATGTGATACATTTTTTAATAAAGAATACATGTATTGGAAATCGATAAAGCCTATAACACCAGAAGAATGATTATTGTACAATATTGAGGTTGATGAAGGAAATTTAAAATGTTTATGCCAATATTGAATTACTCTCGAGAAGGTTGATAAGGAGTGGCATTTAAGTAAAGGTCACCCTTTCTAGCAATAGTTATTCCCGATAATTCGGTCAAGTCTAAGTCTCTTGGCATGATTCCGGTTGGGAGTTTCCAGTCAAAGTGATAGAGTAATTGAGCCAATGGCAAGTAAAGATTAGCTAAACCAAATGACATTCCAGGACAAATTCTCCGTCCACCGCCAAAGGGAAGAAACTCAAAATTATTACCAAAAAAATCCACAGAGCATTGCTCAAATCTCTCTGGCTTAAAGCTTTCCGCGTCATCCCAATATTTTGGATCTCTTCCCAATGCCCAAACATTAACCATAACTTTGGTCTT